ACCAAGGGAATTCCCATTTTGGATCCTCCATATGCTGGTCTTAGCCAAACCCTAGCCCAGGGCTAATGGTTTGGGGCACCATCCACATGAGTAACTAATAGAGTAGGGGATCAAGCCAGGCATGTTTGGGTTAGGATTGAGGTTGTGAGTGCAGGTGCAACTGTGTGTGTGTAAGACTAACCAAGGCTACATCACCCAAGGTTAACCCTAAGATTAGACAGTCTTATGGGGAACCCCTCTTGAGCTCTCCAATATTGGTCCCACCAACTAAGTATTAGAGGTTAGAACTAACTTGTGGAACTTTAAGATGAGCAAAGAAGAATTTGGAATTTCTATTGGTGAGGGTACCATCACTAGTTTTCTAGGAATAGTCAACAGGAAAATCCTATGCCTAGATCCTAGGCCCCTAAGGAAGAAAAACTAGCCCTCAACCAAAAATGAGGTCAACACTAATCACTTTCTCCTTCACTAGGAATGAGAAAAGTGAGAATAAGCCCTAAATAAAACCCTACAACTCCTTACTTTCTACTCTCTAAGAGTGTCCTATGTCTTCTCTATATTCATCCAATCTGAGTCCTTTTTATAGTTTTCCAAAAGGTGTTTTTGTATCTCTTCAAAATGTGTTCACATTCAATAAATCTTCCAAGAGTTGTCTCTATTCAATAGTCATTTCAATGTATTTTCGTGTCCATTAACTGTAATCCACATTTTTCAGTAAGAGTTGCTTCAAACACCCCTTCAAAATTCATCCAAAATTCCTTAAATTTTCATCATAACTACCTGACGCGTGAGCGTGAGGTCTTTGGCGCTTAGGCGCGACCTTCTCTGTCTCCTGGTACTTAAGTGTTAGTTCTGGGCGCTTAGGCGTCACGGTTCATTTTCACACCTTCATTTTTGCTCCAAATTGATCATTTTTCACTTCTTTCAACATGTTTCATCCATTTAATTGTACCTAAAGAAAAACACACAAATACTTTTCATTAAAACGCAATATCTTTAAAAATAGTTATAAAAATGTGGACAAAAATGTTATATATTTTAAGTGTATCAGCACCCAATCTAAGGGGGGTAAATGCAAATCTTCTTTCAAAAAAAAGAAGTTTGTAAACTTCAAAGCTAAGGAGCGTTAAAATGACTTCTTAGTACTAATCACTGAGAGGGGATTCATTAGCCCCGGGGTGTTGTAAAGTGAGGAGAAGCTTGAGGAGAAGCCTTATCAAAAAATTGTTTCACTATATTCTTTTTAAACTTAAGACTTCACTACACTCCTGAGCATACTGATATCTAGAAAGTATTAGGAAATTTTGTTTAAAGAGGAGTGCTTAAAATATAGTATTCAACCATCTAAGAAACCACAATTTAGTAAGAGTTCATTCATTTTTTAGGTAATAGGAAATCAGATTTTCTTAGTTGGATGCAAAGTTTCTTATACCCTAGGTCTAAACTTGTTTACTTAAGTTATCCTAATTCAATACTATGAATTTTGTAATGCATAATTTTTGATAGTTTTCATAAAATCCACTCCCTTAAATTAAATAATTTGATTTAAATATTTAATTATTACTTGAGGACAAGTAACTTTTAAGTTTGGAGGATTTTAATGTATAGAAAAGAATGTTAAACTTAATTTATGCTTTTACACATTTTATGGATGAAAGCACTATAAAGAAAGGTACTTTTATTTTATTTTTTTTGCAGGTATAACAAGTATTATGAGTGAAGCAAAGTGGAAGAGACATGGAGCAAAAAGGTGGAGACTTTGAGCAAAGGATGACTTAAGTGATTAGCGCCTAGGTGTCGGTTCATGCCTTGCCAACTAACAGAAAGTCTGGTGCCTTGGCGCCAGACCCCAGGATGCCTAGGCACTAGTAACTGTCTGAGACAATTTTAGCTGATTCAAACACACGATGGGGGCAGTTGATCAGCTAGCTGGAGGAGTTCTTAAGGAAGGTTTTAAAGTAAAATTAGGGAGGAACCTGAAAGGTAACACTAGAAGAGGTTAGGTTTTGTCTAGGAGAGTTTGCGTAAGGATTTAAGTTGTAATTGAGAGGAAAATATTTGGGAGAGCAACAATGAGTTTAGAGGTCTTTGGGGGAGCATTTTCAGAGTTTTGTAAAGAGGAGAAAGATAAGTGTTGTAGTTTTTTTTTTAGTGTGTATCTTTTTATAAAATTGTTTGGTGAATTCTCTTGATTTTAATAAAGCTTTGTGATTTTTTTCTTTGCTTTCTGAGTAGTTATCCTTACCCTTCTTTGTGATAACTGAGTAAATTGTGTAAGAATTCAATGTGTGCTAAAATTGATGTTTAAATACTTAATGTGATGAGTAACCTTTTGAATCTCATTTACTTTTCATTCTGGCCAAGTGAATCATTAAAACTTATTGTGATCCATAATGACTCGAGAGAGCTATAGTGGAATCAACTAGGTTAGTCACATTGAACTATAGGGTATGGTGAAGTACTTTGTAGGGTGATGCAAATGTTAGGGAAATAGTCTTTGAAGGGTTCAAGTTGGGGTTTATGGAATTAAAACCAATTTAACCAAACTTCTTTATGCACTCAAGAGAGAGTAAAAAAGAAAGTTGCTCCTTCTAGTCACTAGCCACACTACAATCTACACTTTACATTTCTTATGCTTGCTCAACATATTACAAAGGAGGGTGGCTTACAACTTGATAATCACCAAACTAAATAAGAAAAAAAGAATTTCTATAGGACTTAGCATTTAAAACAGTTTGTAATTTTGTAGGAACAGTTGATAGAACCTTGACTCAGTTTCAATTCCAAGGTAAGAACGAAAACTAGTAGACTAAAACTTTTTCCTGAGTTTATCTACCCCACTCCCTGTGAGATTGATATTTCAGACTCAAAAATTCTATACTACTTATGTGTTATGTACACTTGTGTTGGACCACAGCATCTGAATACACCTGGAATGAAGTGCTCGCTCCAAGTTTATTTTAGCATCGTTGTCGGGACTCGCAACATGTTTCCATCATATTAAAGATGGTGTCTAATGTTTTTTTTTTCTTTTACACTCTAAGTGCAAATTCTGAAGATAGAACAAAATTATTCTTAATTTATATATCTTACAAATTTTTAATACTTGCTTTATCATGTTCAAATCTAAATTTTTATAAAATATGTCTAGCACATATCCATCCACTAAATAAACCTTAAAAATTTTCCACTAGAGTCATTAGAGAATCGTGCTGATTTAAAAACATTAGATAAAACTTCTTCATCATGATCTCTTATTATAAATTTCCCTTTTTACACATCAATCATTGCTCTTCTTACAGTTAAGAATGATGTACCTAATTGGATTTTCTTATCTTCCTCCATAACTAACATTATAAACTATGTATGAAAAATAACTTATCAACCTTAACTAAAATATCTTTTATAAATCCTTTAGGTTAGGTTAGTGAATGGTTTGTTAAGTAAAGGGTTACTATGGTAGGTTGCACTTTTTATAATCTTAATCTTCTAAATATAGAGAAAGGCATTAAATTTAAGTTTGCTCCTAGATCATACATGGCCTTCTCAAAGATTCTTTCTCCTAATGTAAACTATAATAAATTGTTCTTGGTCTTTTAATTATTGTAGAAGTCCCTTTCGAATTATTACACTATATTCTTATGTTATTATCAAAACCTCAAAATATTCTTTTATTTATTATTTAATATATCTTTCATAAATTTTATATAATTGAGCATTTGCTCAAGAGCTTAAGCAAATAAAATGTAATAATAAGTTTGTTGAACACTTTTAGAAACCTAGAGAATTACTTATCTTGATTCTATTTTCTAAATCTTCTTGTAAAAAGAGATGATGGTCTCTCAATTTTCTTTTTACAAATTTCCTTTTTATATGAATTTGTTAGTATTAGGTTACTTTGTGTTTCATATTCAAATTCATTAACATCTACATTGAGCTCCTTTCTAGACATCTTTCAAGTTACTTATCACTCAACTGAATAACCTTATATCATTTCTTCCTTTTATCTTTAGGGTTCACATCGATGTTGTTTGGTAAAGTTACTTGAAATCTATTTGTAAAAAAACTAGCAAGTTATTCTAATTAAGTTTCATTGTTCTTAATAGTTGCAATTTGATTTAATTGAGCACCCATCTACAAAACCAGGTTTTTTAATGATATTTTTTCAGTAGATTGATTATTTGAAGTGAACTATGGTGGATAACTAGGCCTCGGATTTGAAAACATATTATATTGGTTATTACCCGTTCTTACAAGATTAAATTTATTATTATTACAATTATTCCCTATAATGTTTTTTTAGCTTAATTAATTTTTTTTTAATTTTTTTATTCCTATACATTGATTATTATTCCAATTAAAATTACGATGAATTCTCCAACATAGGTTTTATTTTCTTGAGTAATGATTATTTTATCTAATGTTTAATGTTCAATGACTCCACATTTTAAAGGCAAAGCTCAATTGACTGACCAATTCCACCAATATCATAACTAACAGGTGATTCTCGAGTATAATTTAGCATTAAATTATCTAATTTTCTCAAAATAGCCACTACTTGAAAAAATCAATTACATGTATACTAGCCATATCTTCCTAGGAGTTAATCATTCAATGTATAATTGAAAATTACTTGTAGTTATGCAGTGCATATACCTCATCAAATGATTAAGACATCAATGAACCCCCAACTGCAGTGTCTACTATTAACCTCAAAGAACTCACTAGCCAAGTATCAAATATTTGAATAATCAACCAATTAAATAGGACATGATGAAGACACTTTCTAAATAAATTTTTTAATCTCTTTCAAGATTCATAAATTGACAAATTATTTAATTAGGTGAATACACATATGTCATATCTAAAAAAGCCTACTTTTCCCTTCCTTGGCTCTTGAACAACACCCTAGGCCTATAAAGTATATCACAATCAAAACATCTATACTTCATTGTACAGAGAAAATTTGATCACAATATGAAACATTTTAACTAGTGGTCAAAAATATTATATAATTATTTTGAATCATTTTAAGCTAAATTTACAAGGCAATTGTTCTATTATACATAGTTTTACAAATTCATTTAAAAGATATTGTTTTTATGATTCAAAACTAAGAAGGCACAGCCATATTACCTGTTTTATAGCAATATGATAGTGTAGGCTATTCCAGTGAGTAATGGGAGAGAAGTTCTCCGGCCGTGAGTTTAGAAGAGAGACGAAGCTTTCGATATTCCGGCAAATCAATAGTCCCATAGAGTCTCTTGTGCTTAGAATCAATGAACGCAGCCTGAGGCTCAACCATAGAATTCTCTGGTGGAAACATAAAAAGCACGATCGAGAAACGCTGCGAGGCTTTCTTGCATATCACCCTGTGTTTCACATTCTGCAATCTTCCATTGCTCCAAACCTTTATAATTCATTTATGAAAATGAATAAATATTTACTAACAAAATTTACAAGAAAATTGATTGACAAAAAAATATTTTCCTAATTTTATAATGATGGGAGCTTGCGCTTTATAGGGTTCATTTTGTATTATTTTTTGAAAAAAGGAAATTTGGTCAGCATTTTCTTTGTATAAATTTGCAAATTAACAAACTTTCTTGCCTAAACATTATGTCAACGAACCGAATTCCGATTTGATAGGTTGATATGATAAAATTGAGAATGTTACCAAAGGCATGTGATAAGACTAACTATTGATAATATTACTAATTTAGAAGATGCACCAATAATTATTCTATTTCATGCAGTTACAATATGAAATAATTAATAATGGCATAGAATTAGATCAAGAATAATGTAACTAAAATGGAAGGAAGAGTTGGAGAATGAAGAGTTCATATCAAACTGCTGGGATAAGCTGGTTAATGGTGTTGATATGATTAGTATTTATATGTCCTTGATTTAACATACACAACAACCAAGTCTTACATATCTAACACCTAAACTCTGCTTTTTATATTTATACCTCCCAAATCTTTCACATCACATAAAAAATACCACTATTAAAACATTAATAAGTGAAAGACAGCTTTTAATGCATGGGTAAAGTGGCAACATGTAAAAATTGAAGTATGGGGTTAAATATGTAAATGCATGAGAATTGAGCGGTATTCATGTAAATCTTCCAAATTAGAACAAAATGAAGAAGGTGGTGCTTCCATGAAAAGAATAAATAAGATAATTAATTTACCTTTCCCATGTCACCAATATTCACCCAGAAGGTACCCGGTACAGGATCAATGGCTACAAAATTTCCTGCAGCGTCAGCAATTTCAAAGCCACCAATAGACTCTTCCTCTTGGACGATAGTAAGAAAGCTAGAGTCGGTGTGGATAGGGGCACCAATAGAGCCAATTGTCTCTTCTGTGAAGTTATAACGATTGAGTCCTAACCGGCAAGGCCATTCTTGGAATGAGAATCCCTCCACACCTAAACAGTCTGTCACTTTAGATGCTATATCCACAATCAAGTCATGGAGCTTCGAGGCATATTCACTAATTGTTTCTCTGCATGTTCACCAAATTAGAGTCACGCCCAGTTCAAATATTGAATTAATATTTGATTATTCTGGTTGATTAATATTTTTTTTTATATTTACCATAATTTAGGAGGACTAAAGTTTAGGGACATTTAAATACATGCCACCCAAGTCATATGTATTTACATATCTACACCTCAATTTTGCTTTTTACATTTATACCGCCCAAATCTTTCTTAGGGTTGTGCATTATTTGGTCAAAACTGAAAAGCTAAACCAAACTGATTAAGTTTGGTTGATTCGGTTCGGTTTCAAAATTGGATTTCAGTTTTTGATTTTTAAAAACTTCGATATTTAGTTTTCGGTCTTTGGTTCAGCTTTAAACTTCATTTAACCGAAAAAACCAAAATTTTATTAAAAATTTTTATTATATTTTAATTTCATGTGGAATAAACTAAAAAAAAATCAAAAAATTTATTATACGTAATATTTGATTGAAATAAAAAGTTTGGTTGAAATAAATTAAAGATTCATGAAATCAAATCGATATTATGTGAATAAAATATGTGATTCGTAATGCTTATTATTAGTCAAATTTCAAAAGGACAATTTAATTTTGATTTTTTTTCATAACCGTTTAAACCGAATAAAATTTTGGTTTGGCCGGTTTGCTTTTGTCTATATTTAAATTGGTTTGGTTTTCTGGATTATGAATTTCGGTTATAATCAGTTTGAACAACTTTAAAACCGATCCTTCCGAACCGATCGAATAGTCACCCCTAATATTTCATATCACATCAAATGTACCACTAATTTAACCTTTGAGAAGTGAAATACATTTTAATGCATAGGTAATATGGCTAATAATTGAAGTTTAGATATTTAAATACATAGAAATTGAGTGATATGTATGTATTTAAATCCTCCTTTTTAAGTGTAATGTAATTGGATTTCATTTTATTTTGTTCAAGGGCGGAAGACTGAAATAGTTTGTAAAAAATTGACTCGAGTTCAATCGGCTCAACCTCAACTAATAATTGGGCCTAAACCAATATTTTGAGAAAGTGAGACCATTTGTACTTTCCAATGTTTGAAGCAAGCTTGGTTAAGTTTTGTTTTTTGGTCAAGCATTAATGATGTTGTTACAGACTTAAATTCTTCGATTGTCATGATAATAATTCATTATATGTTGTTCATCTCAGTTACCTAAATTAAAGAGTTGAGATTAAAGTAAAAGTGGCAAAGATATTGCTAATGATCTTGAGTGAATGTCTCATCAATTAGATAATAATGATCACAAAATTATAAATTTATTAGTGGTGCGAAAATTCTTTCACTTTTGCATTCTCATAAATATTAAATATATTCCAAAATATGATTAATACCGACCTACACATGCATGCAACTAAGGGAAAAATGTACATTGAATGCAACATCATGCGGAGTTGCCTTAAGTAGACGACTACATTGATGCAAGCTATGCATTAAAGTTAATAGGAAAAGAGAAGAATACAATCAATCTAAGTAAAGATAGGGGCCATGATAAATAATGCATGAGATGACATATATATCGAGTTTAAACTAATTCAATTGTCATCGAGAAAACTCAAACGACACTCGTTTGTGAAATGATCTTCATCAACACGATCGAAATGTCAAAAATACTTGGTGGGTTCCCGCTCACATACGGAAAACAATATGTACCTGTGTGAGATTGATGAAATGTATATTTATATGTGTATAAAAATTGAATAAATATTTGAGAAAAAAGAAAGATAAACTAGTTTAAAATTTTATTTAAAATAATAATTATCACATATATACATATTCATACAAACACAACCACACACTATCAACCTCTCACACGGGGAAAATTATTATGTCCAGACGTCCCCATTCACACTCGTTATTGTACATGTAACCTCCACTCCCTGCCTCTAAAAGCCACAAACAACTGTCTTCTGGCTCACCAAACCTGTGCAAAACACTCGTTTATCCTTTCTATCTCTATCTCTAGTTGGTCTTATAGCTGCAACCTCTCACACCTACAAGCAACCCGGCTCTTCCTCTCTTGTCATCTTGCACATAGAGCTACTACACTCACTCGACCCACCACTTCCACTAGGTCGAACCTGCGTCCATTGGAGTCTATCTCACATGATAGCCTGCAATTGGCCGCTCTGTTGCTTGACAACGGAAGCAAACCTACTCTTATTTTTTCCTAATCCGGCCTCTAACCCATTCCCACAATAAACCCTGCTTAACTGCCTACAATCATTTCATTTAAACCTCTCACTCTATCTGCTCCCTTTTGCTCTCTCACACAGAAAAAAAATCCAAGCCAACTCTTCTCTCATTCTCACTCAATTCTCTCTACAAAAAAAAAGTTATGTATATATATATATATATATATATTTTTTTTTTTTTTTTTTTTTAAATGCAAAAATACATTTTGATATAAAAGAAATGATACAAAAGTGTTAACGAGTGGGTACAAAGAGCCCACTCGCAAGAATTACAACTTACATGTAATCCCCAAAAATATAACAAAAAGAAAACAACTCCTAATCATGATGCGTGTAGTCGGTGCATATATCGCTTCCCCTTCCTCTAAATCTAGGGAGAAAGTCCAGCAACATACAGAGATGTGGGCTTCCACCCGAAACTATGAGACAGTTATCTTGAAAATTATTGAGATCTAGCATTACTTTTTTCTTCTTCCTAGATTTGTAAACCTGTCAATAATCTGCCAGAGGTAATCCCGTCTGAACAATAGGTGGATTTTCGATGGAGAACTGATAATAGGTGGATTTTCGATGGAGAACTCACCCCGAGGGGTATGTTGATCCGTAAACTGTTGATCCGACGTTTGCAGCACACCTTGATCCTGACACTCCTCCAAAACTTAAATACCCTCTTCTCTCGCAATAGGTGGTTCCAAAACACTTCGGCTAGCATCTGCTACAACAAAATTCGTTGTATTTATAATCTAAGGAAGAACTGCCTCAACAACAGTAGGCAGAAGCTGCTGATCTGGTTGGTGAGGAGTAGCCTTATGAGTCAAATTCTCATTCAACATTTCTGGAAGATTAACAGTGTCTGCTATATTTTCCTCCACATGGATGATGTTGTTAGCATTTGTCGATCTCAAATATGGGTGAAGCCTGAATATTTGACAAGAGTATGCCCAAACAATTTACAGTGATTGCAGTAGTAGGGTCTTTGTTCTGCAACAATTGGCTGCTAATACGCATTGTGGGCAGTACCAAGTCATATTTCGTCCACATCAGAGAGGGTGATATCTCTTTCATCAAGAATTCTTGTGACCGAAGGCCTGGTTATATTGAAGGTGGGTGTATCCAATTTCATAGGTCTCCCTAGTGCAACTCCAATATAATAAAGGATTTGGTGATTGAAGTAGTGCAACTTTAGGCTGAGTAGTTTAAACCAAATTGGAACTATAGGTGGTTCTTGGTTAGGATCATATTCAGAAGACCATTTAAGCAGTTTTATATATTTCTCATCTATTGTCATAAGTTTTTTGGAGAATATTTTGGCAAAATCTTCTGCTTTAGATAATTGTATCATCACATGTCTCCCATCAAAGAGGCCAACCTTCCAAAGTCCCAATAGTTTGAAATCTTCAAAAGCCTTTCGAACGATTTTTATTTTAGGATTTTATTTTAGATTTTTATTTTAGGATGTCCCGATTGGAACTTCCCAATCAAGGTGAATTTGCACTTGTTAACCAGGTTGGAAACTTCAACGTTAGAGAAGAATAGGGCTAGTTTGTCACTCTTCCTACACGTCTTATTGATAAGGTTGCAGTACTCCTGGACTTCGAATGATTCATGGTAAACCTGAGGGAAAACTTGATCTGATCCCATAGAGCCGACCATATCAACAAAAGAAGCCTTCCTAAGGTTTAAAACTGAAGTAGTCGGTGTTTGAGAAGGAGCGGTAGCCATGAAACAGGAAGTTGAACAGCGGCAAGCTACAAGATTGAGTCTGGACTACGAGTAGCTCACGTACGTGTAGGACGAGAGTGCAACAGCCAATCTGGAGCTGTCGAGCAGAAAGAGAGGCGATTGGGTCGAAGCCGCAGAAGACAAGCTACAGGAGACAGAGCCGCAAAAGCGTGATCGACCCTACAGCCCGTCCTTCAGCGAGCAGCGAGCACAAAGGCGCAGCTGGCGATGGAAGACAAAACAAAAGAGTGATCTTCTTCTTCGAGTGTGAAATAGTCGCAGAACAGACGACGCACGACGAAAGTCGAGACGAAGCCGATGTCGCACGACGCAGACGAAGCACGACGAAAAGGGGGAAACATGATGAAGAGCAAATTGCAAAGAGATACCAGGTTTCGCGCAAAACCCTAGCAGAGCGAAATCGGAACAGACGACGCCATTATATATGTCTGTCTACCCCATATGTGCTAATCCGACCCAGATGAATTCAAAATCGGGACAGGGGGATTTACACCGAAGTTGCCAACCAACAAACCACCAGTTACACATGCACGCGCACACAAATATATATATATATATTCACCCCACAAATTCGTGTCGTTCATTCGCAAATCTCACTGTCCGTGTACAAAGGTATGCAAGAAAACTAGGTACATTTTCTCATTTTTCCAAAGATATTGTAAAATCTATCCGTTTTAAGTACACATTCAGATTGTTCTAACATGGCGAAGAAATCCTACTTCAAGTAAACGTCACATTAGTCCAACACAGCACGAAATTCTATCTTCTTTTGTGTAGATATTTGAAGTTCTAAACATATTTTCTTAATCATGATGGGTTAGAAGACTTCTCGATCGAGATATCACATGACACCTATTACGCACACCTTTTTAGGCATCGTGGGAATGCCTTTTAAACATATTACTTTTATTACTGCAAATACATTATTTAAGAAAATACATGAGCATTTTATTACTTATAAAAATGGATCTAATAAAACACAAATTGATTATGTTCTTATGAGAAAAAGAGATCGTCGAGAGTGTAAGATTGTAAGGTC